GGGGACCACACAAACAAATCAGGAAAGAGCATATGTACACAGTTGCCAGGATAAAACAGGGGGGATACAAGTCACACATGGCGCCAGGATAAAACAGGGGGGGGGATACGAGTCACACATGGCGGCAGAAGGTGTGGATTGCTGCAGACTCCCGGCACCACATGCTATTGAAATTGTGCCCCATCCAAACCATGCAATATACTGCCACACCCCTACCCCCAGCGACATACGCCCCATACGCTTGCTGTCTTTTGCCCCGGCATTGCACCAATACTTCCTGCATTTGTGAACCACCCAAACTCCCTAAGGGTATCTTCTCGGCCTGTCAAGAATTCTAGACGTGTTGCTCGCCCACAACTGCTCAAATTCGCTGGGCAAGGAGCACACCACCTCCTTCCCCCATCACACCCCTATTCTCCCCATCACCCACTCCCAGTGCACCATTGATTAGAAAATGAATGCAACACCTCATGCTCACAAACTCTCGCCGTGCATTGCATGCGGTTCTTCACAGGCCCATTCAAACACAACCAAAACAGACCCGACTGGCTCCGCTTGACCGCCCAACCCCAGTTCAGCCCCGTCTTCCCCTGAGTAGAAAAACACAGGGCCATTACTGCAGTATCCAGACTGAAAGTTGCCCCAAATGCATCTACGATGTCCGTACATTTGTCTTCTATTCCAGCGAAGCTGGTAGCACCTGTTAGAAAAAAAGACACTATGTGTCATCACTCGCTTCCCACGCTGATCATTCCCCACCCTCACACAACTGCCACACGGATGACGCCCCACCCTTCTCCACTCTCCAAACCCCTCAAGGAGAGGTCCTTCCTTTCACGCGCTTGCGTATTCGAGCCCCTGGGCACTTGAACTTGCTAAAGGAAGGTCCAGGGCCTGACCAAAGTTGGAGTTCCAGGTCCGAGGGCGGACCAGAGTTGGAATTCCAGGTCCAGGGGCTGACCAGAGCTGGAATTCCAGGTCCAGGAGCTGACCAGAGTTGGAATTCCAGGTCCAGGGAGAAAGAACCAGTGCTGGAATTCCAGGTCCACGGGCTGACCAGAGTTCGAATTCCAGGTCCAGGGAGAAAGAACCAAAGCTGGAACTCCAGGTCCATGGAGAAAGAACCAGAGCTGGAATTCCAGGTCCATGGAGAAAGAACCAGAGCTGGAATTCCAGGTCCAGGGAGAAAGAACCAGAGCTGGAATTCCAGCTCCAGGGGCTGACCAGAGTTGGAATTCCAGGTCCAGGGAGAAAGAACCAAAGCTGGAATTCCAGGTCCAGGGAGAAAGAACCAGAGCTGGAAGAACCAGAGCTGGAATTACAGGTCCAGAAAGAAAGTACCAGAGCTGGAATTCCGGGTCCAGGGGCTGACAAGAATTGGAATTCCAGGTCCAGGGAGAAAGAACCAAAGCTGGAATTCCAGGTCCAGGGGCTGACCAGAGTTGGAATTCTAGGTCCAGGGAGAAAGAACCAGAGCCGGAATTCCAGGTCCAGGGAGAAAGAACCAGAGCTGGAATTCCAGGTCCAGGGGCTGACAAGAGTTGGAATTCCAGGACCAGGGCACTTCAACTATCTGGACCCTGGTCAGCCCAGGAGGTCCAGCTGACAGGGACCTTTGCTTACAACTCTGGTCTATTTTTAACTTCTTAAATCACCAGTTCGCATGAACGTAAGTAGTGCTCTTTCTGGTAGACGCGGTGGCAGGTAACAAAAGCGGCAGGCCACTTGAAAAGGCACAGTTGCAGAGGCTTGCAAGCCTTGCAACGTACTTTCGTCAACTTAGGCTCGTGTGAACTGATGGTTTAAGGTAGTCTGAGCTCTGGGGCTTTCACACAGTATCAGAGCATACGCGCAACAACACTTTCCTGAATGTATCTGATGGATTCTGACGGCAATTGTGGCCGCACTCGGATGAATCTTACTGTAATCAAGTCCAGAGAGCTTAGTAGAAAAAGCACTCGTGTGAACTGTTGGTGCCCTCAGACGGTTCTCATCCTGAGTTTCCACTCCCTTTTTTTCTGAAAGAAAGCGGCGGAAGGTCGGTGAGTTGGGCGCAACATCAGGCCCGATCTCTTATGAACATCTGAGCCGTGAGGCTTTCACACCGTTTCCCCTTTTTCCAGGGTTGTGACCGAGGTATCCGACCATTGTGAATGTCTAGGTGCATTTCTGAATGAGATACTCATACACAGGGAAGGTACCAGTTGTCCCAAGTTCCAAGTCGTACGCAGAAAAGATACCAGTTGTCCCAAGCTCCATATATAACCTACCTCGAGTCCGCCCAAAATGAGGTCTTGTCCAGCTCAGGCACAACCAGAGTGGCATTGATATGCTTAGCAATCGCGACGACATCACAAATCTGAGAAATACAGCGAAGAACAAAAACGAACACCATTTCCAATCAAGTCAGTCTCTTTCATTATATCCCATGTTCTTTCGGATCAAGTCAGTCTCTTAAACCACCAGTACCTTTCTCCGCTACTATCATTGTCGAGCCTGAAAATGCCCTGCACGCCAAAAACACGCCAACCAACCGACGCGGGCCGTTTTCAGGCTGGCGCCATCAGCCATTTGGGTCCAGCAGTACCGAACCCCGTTTGGCTTCCACGTCAACCGTCGCGGTCTTTTTTTTTTTCAAGCGGGGAAAGGTACTGGTGGTTTAAGCTTTCCGTGCCGGTTATTTCCCAATTGTCCATTGAAAATTTGACAATGGCGCATGCCTCTCGCACTCCTGACAACGTCAAAGAGATTGAACTACATACCCTAGAGTAACACCACTACCTGAGGGGAAACTCTTTTTTTTTTTTTTTTTTTTCTTCTAATCGCCAAGCGGCGCCTGCTAGAATGAGTGATATGAGTGGTGTCCTTCCTTCTAGCAGGCCCACAACTGGACGCCAGAGTCTATTGGTGGGGTGCAGCACCTGCTGGAAAGTGGGACCCCAGGGAAAACTTACCCTGATCATCAAAAAGCAGAAGAGAGCAAACCAATTAACATCATGGATCTTCAAGAAAGAAAAAGACGAGATCAAAGCAATTAACATCATGGAACAAAGTACTACAAACTTCCCGAGGGAAGTAATCCATGTCCCCCGCTTGGACCTCTCCGCTATAACGGCGAGGAGCGCGTTCGAGTCTTGCTCGTAAATTCTTGACTTGCCGGTGGAAAAGGAACCGGACTGTTGCTCCCCAAAATAGGAGCGCATTGTTTTGTCCAAAAAAAAAAAAAAACATTCCCCCTTTTTTTATTTTATCAATAAATAAATAAATAAAAAAGCATGCAAACTCCAAATCCTAGAGTACCACCAGCACCTAAGGGGGAACCATCTTTTCTACCAAAAAAAACAGCTTAAGGGGGAACTTACCCTCAAGAAAGACAAAAGAGCGCAGCCATTAACAGCATGCAAAGACTGCGCAAACGACGCAAAGTGTCACATGACCGCAATCAGGTGACCAATTGACATCAACCCAGCGCACCTGGCTGCATGGTAGGTGCAGCCTTCAACTGTTGATTGGAAGACCTGAGTTCGAATCCCCACGAAATCGGACAAGTGACAAGTTGGCAGCAGACTCTGAGACCCGTAGATCAAAATCAATTGGCAGCAAATCTGGTCTTTGTCTGGTCTTAAAAATTAAAATGGATTATCAAATATTGCCAAGAAAATTGAAGAAATAGAAAAAAAAAAAAAAAAAAAAAAACACTCGGGAAATTCAAGAAATTGCCCCCCCTTTTTCTTTCTTTGCTTCTTCTTTCTTTCGTTTGCTTTTTCTTTTTTATCTTTTTTTTATCTTTTTTATCTTTTTTTTTCCCTTTTTTGAAGTTTTTTCCCTTTTTCTTTCTTTATTTTTCTTTGTTTACTTTTCTTTCTTTTCTGTTTTTTTACGAGAATCTCATTTCATTATAAGCTGGGGTTTCTTTCTTTCTTTCTCTTTCTTTCTTTCTTTTTACCTTCCTAACGTCCGACCTACTCCGGTGTGAGCATTATCTTGTCAGAACAGAGTGGATAAAAAACAATTAAAACGATATCATCGGCAATATGATATCTGATCACATCTCCGAGGAAACTACGGTGGAGGCTGGCAGCGATACGGACCTGGAAATCGTTCGTCCGTTATGGGTATATGGGGGAATGACAAATTGAACCGTCGAGTAGCTGGCTACCTCCAAAGCATCCCTAAAGGATAGCTGGAGCTGTCGAACAGTGCTATCAGAAAAAAAAAAAAAAGGTGGTTACGCTTGAGTGTATGTAGAGCGTGGGAGCAGATTCAGACACGCATTAGTAGATTCACAAAACGAGAAACGAGGTCGGCGCACCCACAGAAACCCCCTATTCACCGCAGATCTTCGGATTACTAAAACAACTCATCAACTTTTATGCATTATTAAATTTTTATTTATGATTTACTATCACAAAAATTCTGAACGACAACGGACGTCAGAGTTGGCTGTTGCTAACAAAGTGCATTTCCGGCGACTCACCGCTGCACGCATCTGATTCAGGCCGCCATTTGTCCTGACCAGAATGTAGCCCTCGGTGTTTGCTGGATTGCGCTGACCACCTGCAATGAGAAAAGAAGTCCAACGTCAACCACTTTTTTTAAGTTTTTTTTTTTTTTTTTTGGTTTTTTGTTTYTTTTTTTAACAACCATCAACCAACTTAAAACACTCCCCCATAAATCAAGATAATTTCTTAAACCACCGGTACTTGGCCCAGCTATCAGCTGCGGCAAAAAATAGAGTAGAAACGTTTCTAGTCGCATGAATTTGGGCGCTCCTGTAGTGGCCCGTACGTTTCCTAAAATTATGGCTTGTTAACGGGCACAACTTTAGGAAGTACTGGTGGTTTAATGTACGTACTACATACACATTGAGAATTTCCACAAAATTTCATAGAAAACTGCAGTGCATACATACTCGGTTTTTTTTTTTTTTTTTTTCCCCAAGACTAACAGCGACAAGACCCAACTTTCGGCTATAAGGTGTTTCCAGCATATAGCAACGTGATTGAACTCTCATGCTGCCATGAGGGGGGCGAAGAGAGGTATATAGCATACTTACAACACACGAGCCGCACATTCATGCGGAGGTCCGTGCGGAGTTCCGTGCGGGGGGTGCCTGTGCGGAATCGTGCAGGTTTTTTATTTTTTTTATTATTTTTTATCTTTTTCTGGGAGGGGGAACGGGGGGGTGTATGACAGGAAGATGGGGATATGGCGAGGAGAGGGGGATATGGAGAGGAGGATGTGGACGAGGAGGACAAAGAGGATAGCGAGGACGACTAGGAGGAGTTGTCGAGATGGGGGGAGGAGAAGAGATGGATGGAGGGAAAAGAGGAAGGGCAGGAGGAGGAGGAAACATGGACGGCGGGGAAGGGGAGGACACGAGGAAGGGGAGGACACGAGGAAGGGAAGGAGACGAGGAGGCATGGAAGTTGAGGACGTACGAGGAGGAGGAGACAAGGAGGATAAGGAAGAGCAGGAGGAGGAGGACGAACAGGAGAAGGACGAGTTGGAGGAGATGAAAAGGAGAAGGGTGGAGGACACATGGAGGATGAGGAAGGGGAGGAGGAGCAAGGTGAGGCAGTACTCCTGTAAATTTTTTCTTCATCTCGCTTGTAATTTTGGCGGGGGGCCTCAAACGCACCATTTTGAACCCGGCCTTTATTTTTCTGAGGGGGGTGACGGGTCCTTCCCCCCACACGTCGTGCGCCGCACGGGATCGGTTGGCTGCGTGCGCCGCACGTAGGGAACCGCCTGCACGGCATGCGCTTGCAAGTATGGTATATAGATATAGATATACAGCTGCTGTTGTAACGGCCCTTGCTTCTTTGCACCTCAGATTTTTCAGGGTGTAATCAACCCACGCGCTGACGGGATGCTCAGCGCCCCCATCGTGAATACATTGATGAAATGGGCAGCCGATTTCTTTTYTTTTCTTTTTTTTATTTATTTAATGGGGGGGGGGGGTCACATTACAAGCAAGCGAAAGCGAGGGCGTATCGATAGCAGATCTTTGGAAATAAAAAATAAAAAACTTGCCTTTTCGCCCGGAATGTTTGCCTTGGATGCATTGATAAAAGGGCGTCCCGGTTTGAACGCTGGCATTACCCGCAAAATTGAAACCTCCGACAGATTTCGCCTGCACAGACAGACAAGCCATAAGAGAGTTAGCGGCTTAGCACTCGGCTTGAATTGAAAATGATTATCACACTTGTCCAAATTGTATGGGACAAGTGACCAGAATGTATGTAGCCTTTAGTGTTTGCTGGATTGCGCCATCCTCCCTCCCTTGTGCCCCTCCCTCTTCCTCTGCCATAGCCTCGCTCCTCCTTCCTCTCTTCTTTGCCATGGCACCCCTCCCTCCTCCGTCAGCGTCCCTCCTTTCTCCATCCTCTCTCCTCTGCCATAACCTCCCACCCCGCTCCTCCTCCACCATAACCTTCCTCCTCCCTCCTCCTCCGCCATGGCCTGTCCTCCCTCCTCCCTCCTCCACCATGGCTGTCCTCCCTCCTCCACCACCATGGCCCGTCCTCCCTCCTCCCTCCTTTGCCATAGCACCCCTCCCTACTCCTCCTCCATAGCACCCCTCCCTCCTCCACCATAACGCCCCATGGCCCATCCTCCCTCCTCCCTCCTTCGCCATAGCACCCCTCCCTCCTCCTCCTCCTCCTCCATAGCACCCCTCCCTCCTCCACCATAACGCCCCATGGCGCCCCTTCCTCCTCTCTCCTCCCTCCTCCTCCACCATAACCTCCCTCCTCCCTCCTCCACCACCATGGCCCGTCCTCCCTCCTCCCTCCTCTGCCATATCGCCCCTCCCTCCTCCTCCACCATCGTGCCCCTCCCTCCTCCATCCTCTCTCTTCCTGCCTAGCGCCCCTCCCTCATGCCGACTACAACCCATCACCTAGTCCCTTCCTGCCCACATGCAGCAATAAAAAACAGAGGCCAGATTTGGGCACTGCTAACGACCCTGCATTTGCGTTAACATATGCGTTAGCTTAAACTACCAGTACCCCAGGGGGTCTTAGGCTGCGGAGGCTCTGATGCAAAGGCGCATGGACCCGCGTGGCGCATCCATTCAGCCACCGCGTTAACGGGGCCTAAAAACGTGGAGTTATCGGTGGTTTAAAATATGAGCTAACGACGTTATTGTGTGCAATTTGGGTGATCAGACGCTTTGGTTAGCGTACTCACAGTGTGAAATTCGACTGTTGACACATTGGAGTTGTGATGATGCGCGCTCTTCCATGTCCCCATTACGCCTAAGTTGTCCAGCTGATGCTGCGAATCCTTCCAGGTACCAATTACGCCTACGCCTTGCAGCTGCTCTGAATGTTTGTCTGCCAACTGCACAAGCACACACCCACAAAGTTTATCTCTCATGCCTTCATAGGTCGATTCACGTATTACATCATGCCACCATACAAACACGGTACGCAAAATCATTTCTAAACCTCAACTAAGGCACAGCATACCTTCCCGACTGGGGAGCAATCAATGTCGCTGCCTCAGGTTCTCTCGGCCATAACAGGCAGAAGTGTTGGATGGGAAGAACGCTGGACCCGGTTTCCACCAGTACTCGTAAAAAGTAGAGGGAAGTACGTTCATGTCACATCAGAGTTTCCTAGGGGGCAAAAAAAAACATGCATCGGCAAAGAAAGTACCGCGGCGGTCGTGTCACGCCGGGTGTCATATTGTACGGGGGATGGTCGTGGTGTCAGGCCGGGTGTCATATTTTACAGGGGTCGGGCGTGGTGTCCTCTTCTCCCTCTCTGCCTCTGTTTACCAGGAAGCTCTGTTTGACGATATGTACCACGACTTCGTTAGCACCCTGCTACGGTTTTCTCCGGTCAGGTCGAGCGCCAGTTGTCGGGGCCGTCACTACACGGCCATGCTGTGCCTCTAGTGCCATCGGCGTGTCTGGAGTGTATTTTTTTTGGCTGTGACAGACCTCTCTTTGTTTCGTGGGTGTTTTGCTGGCTTGTGATGGGGTGTGAACCGACAGTCTGTAGAGTTTTCCATCGGGTGTGGGCGAGTGATAGTCTGCTTTGATTTTCGTCATAGGTACCTTGTGGGCAGTGGTTGGTGCCCACCTCAAGGTATCAGTTGTCGGGCAGTTGTTGATGCTGAACCACAACCGAGGTTAAGGTGGACTATCACTTACAGTGTAATCAGTTAGGGGATTCTGCAGACTGTTGAGGGTTCAGCCTGCTGATGAGTCAGTGCAAGTTTAACTCCGACGAAACAGTTTGTCACAGCCCCTCATTGTTGTCCTCTTGTCCATCTCTGCCTACGGTTTACCCGGCAGCTCTGTTTGATGATATATACCACGACTTCGCTAGCACCCTGCTACGGTTTTCTCCGGTCAGGTACCAACCACTGCCCTCAAGGTATCGATGACGAAAATCAAAGCAGACTATCACTCACCCACACCAGATGGAAAACCCGACAGACTGTCGGTTCACACCCCATCACAAGCCAGCAAAACACCCACAAAACAAAGAAAGGTCTGTCACAGTCAAAAAATACACTCCTGACACGCAGCTGGCACTAGAGGCACAGCATGGCCATGTAGTGACGGCCCCAACCACTGCCGCTCACCTCAAGGTATCAGTTGTTGGGCAGTTGTTGGTGCTCAACCACAACCGGGGTTAAGGTGGATTATCACTTACAGTGTAATTAGTTAGGGGATTCTGCAGACTGTTGAGGGTTCAGCCTCCTGATGAGTCGGTGAAACTCCGACGAAACAGTTTGTCACAGCCCCTATATATATTGTCACATAACTATGCAGTAAAAGAGGGCACTTTATAAGTTTATATATATATCGACCCACACTCACTCCTCATACAAACAGTATGCATTCATCAAGCGCTCGGACACACAACATTAGTACAGTTACCTCTGGGGTCAAAAAATATGAAGCACGTGCCTGCCCTTATCACCCCCAAATAGTCGAAAAGATGGATAATGCAATTCGATGCAAAAGGCCTAAAGGCATAAGGGATCAGAGAAGGCGAAGGACCGCGAGACAAGATTTCCTGTCAGAAAAGGGAAGAAGGAGAAAAAAGAACCAAATGCCTGCTCAAGGGCTGCGAGACTGAGGGTCTGTTAATCATTGAGTGGCAATCAATCACAGGGACGATAAAAGCATCACCCAGATTGAAGCCCTGCCAAGCTGATAGCTCTGATCTGCTGGTGGGAACTTCGCCTGCTGGAAACCGGGTCCAGCATCCTTTTCCATTATTTTATTTTCTGAACATTTAAACCACCAGTACTTCCTAAAGTCGTGCCCGTATACGGGCCACGATTTTAGGAAACGTACGCGCCACTACAGGAGCGTCCAAATTCATCCGACTAGAAACGTTTCTACTTCATTCATTTCCACGGCTGATAGCTCGGTGGGCCAAGTACTGGTGGTTTAAGATGATCTATTGACTGAAGCTGCGCTCAGACACCAGGCCTCTCAGCCCACCGCGCTGCGAGATATCGACCATGTGCCCTAGCCTGTGTCGCAGGTTCTGTATCGGTGGCCATGTATTGCTGACCCCTCCATCAAACCATTGCAGGTCCACCAGGGAACGATAATGTGGGGGGAAGGGATCTGGGAAGTCGGATGGGGGGCGAGGCCGGATGATGAGGTCTGTCGTATCTTCATCCCCTTGTGGCCTCTTGATGCTCTGGCTCCTGCCAACCGTCCCGTTCTACTGATGCCACCCGGTCCCACCCGATCCCCGTGTTCTCCACCCAACCAGTCCATGCAGAATTTAAAGGTTTCTTTTTGCAATGTCTTTTTGTTGAGACAGGAAACACAGTTTGTCGGTTTTCACCTTGGCCCACCGAGCCGCTAGTTCCCTTTCGATCTGTTGTTTTCATAAGCTTCTAAGAGGCGCATCCTGACTCCATGTTTTCTCTACTTTCTTTGTGTGCCTTTGATCTTCTCTTTAATTACGTGTTTTTTTTTCCTTTTCTTTTCTTCTTTTCTTGCTTGTGGTCTTCTACATGTAAGACAAGTGCGTAAACATACGTCATTGCCATTGTGTACGTTGCACCATGCGTTGTGCTGGCCATTACCATCCATTCTCATGCTTCGACATTGCGGTGGTTGACCTCGCGTTGGTTCCTTTCCACACATTCTACATGAATCTAGACTACTGTTCAGACCAGGTGCATGCATTCTGCAGATGTGCCTATCGGATCTAGGAGATTCATCCTGGCTCTGTGATTTCTCTCGTCCTTGTGTGCCTTTGATTTTGTGTTTGTGTGTGCTGGCTTGGTTCTCTGGAGGTAAGGCACATGTGGAAACAGACGTCATGGCCAGCAAGTGCATTGCACTGATGATTACCATCCCTTCCCATCTCACGTTTCGAGATTGCCGTGATCGAACCATTATACATTTCTCTCCGCCTTTTTCTTTTTTTTTTTCCATTTCCACTCCCAGATACTCTTATTCCATTTTTTTTAATAAAAGAAGGGCCAATGGACCTATTTCGCCCCCGTGTGCCCATTCAACCTCCGCAGCTGTTTGTTTCGCCTGAGCGTGTTTCTTCTGCCCATTCAAGTTTGACACCTGCCACATCTGCACTTGTGTCAAAAACACAAAAAGAATCATTTCGGTTAGCATGGCCCGTGTATTGCTTACGTCAGCTCACATGCTTGGCCATGGGGCCAGAGTCATGCTTGCTCATGGGCCCATGCGCCCACAGACATGCTTGCTCATGTGCCCATGGGCCCGCAGACATGCTTGCTCATGTGCACATGGGCCCGCAGACATGCTTGCTCACGTGCGCACATCGCATGTCACAGGCAGATCTCTGGCGCACACAACGCTCCAAGGCTTCCACTCAAGGTGCAGTCAAAATGTTGAAGTCACCCGACTCTGAAGAGGAAGAACTCCTTTACATAGGACTGATTAACGCAGGTGTGTTTAACGAGGAACGGTAGGTTGAGCCATAACCTCCTACCAGAATCAGATGGACATGATGAAGTCAGGGGCTACGTCCTCTTGTTTCTTTTTCACTAAATTAGAAAAGAAAGGTTTGATTCATCGGTCACAGAGTTCGATCATTCCTGGCTTGCACGTGAGAGCTCCAAGCATCCATGTCCATTTTTCTCTTTTTTTTAAAGAAGGGAATAATGCTCCAGTCTATTTTGTGCGGGGCAGCACGTGCTGGCTGGCGATCAAAAAACCAGTGAGATAAAGATGTCAGCCAGAAGCACTAGCTTATCTGAAACTCCAACCCTGTGGCCACGTCATTTTGGCCACACAGTAAGGACACGATCACGTCACTTAGGACCTCGTCGAATGCATCTTTCCACAGAAAGCGGTAAGATGCATTCGTTCTTGTTTCGTTTCGACGGTAGTGTGGTGACGCCCTTTTAAGCCAGGTCATTCCGCCCGATTACCACATGCGGCAGTCAGGACAAGCTTTTGCTGCATCATCCTGACCAAAACAACGAGACGCGCTGGTTGTGACTTGGCGAAGTTGTTCTGACGGAGATGGAAAATTGCAGACCCAAAATCGTCCTTTCACACTAGGCAAGGGAACGGAACTAAGACGCGCTGGTTGTGACTTGGCAAAGTTGTTCTGGCGGAGATGGAAAATTGCAGACCCAAAATTGTCCTTTCACACTAGGCAAGGGAACGGAACTAAGTACACTAAAACCACAAGAGAAGACTCGGGGCCTATTCACAATTTCACACTAGTTTTTTTAACGAGGAACAGTAGGTTGAGCCATAACCTCCTACCGGAATCAGATGGACATGATGAAGTTAGGGGCTACGTCCTCTTGTTTCTTTTTAACTAAAATAGAAAAGAAAGGTTTGATTGATCGGTCACAGAGTTGGATCATTCCTGGCTTGCATGTGAGAGCACCAAGCATCCATGTCCCTTATTCTCTTTTTTTTTAAAAAGGGAACAATGCTCCAATCTATATTCGTGCGGGGCAGCACGTGCTGGCTGCCGACCAAAAAAACTAGTGAGATAAAGATGTCAGCCAGAAGAACTAGCTTATCTGACACTCCAACCCTGTGGCCACATCATTTTGGCCACACAGGAAGGACACGATCACGTCATTTAGAACCTCGTTGAACGCATCTTGCCCTTCTCTGCGGGAAGATGCATTCGTTCTGGTTTCGTTTCGACGGAGGTGTGGTGACACCCTTAAGCCAGGTCATTCCGCCCGACTACCACACGCAGCAGTCAGGACACATTTTTGCTGCATCATCCGTGCTGGATGTGACTTGGCGAAGTTGTTCTGGCCGAGATGGATAAATGCAGACCCAAAATCGTTGTTTCACACTAGGCAAAGGAATGGAACTAACTCGGGGCACATTACATTCACACTAC